CCCTCCCTTCCTCCCCCACCCCACCCTCCACCAGCTGTTGATCCAATCTGTTCTTTTCGTAGGGCGCATTTGTGTCGCTTTTTTTCCCTTCCCCTCTCTCTCTTGCAGGTGCGTGAAGACTTTGGTTCCTAGCACAGGGCCAGCAGCCATTCTGCTCTCCACCCACTCAAATGAATGTATTTGAAACCTGAGAGAAAAAAAACAAACAAACAAACAACAAAACAAACTAAAAAGAAAAAAAAATGGTCACCATTCGTCATTATCTTTCCTCCCCATGTAGGGCGATTTAACCACATTTCCATTTTAACGAGCAGTGAAAATGTTCCATGACTGGGGATGCTTTAAAAAAAAAACTCGCCAAAGGGCCGAACAGCAGAACAATCACACATTGCCCACTTTAATTGTCCAAAACTGCACTGTCCTCTGTGGACGGGGGGGGGATTTTTTTGTCACCAAAGCTGCAGTATTTTGTTTGTTGCTAATTATTGAATTTCTGCTTGAAAACAGCTCATTTAAATGCTTTTTGGTTAGTGTTAAAATATTTTCCGAGGCATAAACAAAGGATGAAACAAAAGCACATCTAGGACATCTCACTGAAGCACCACTTTCACAGGTTCTCTCCATCTTTYACCAGTGTATTCATTTGATTCCCCCCAGTGTTCGTCCCTTTCTTCTCTGTGTTCTTTTGTCTTCGCCGGCTGTTTTGTTTTTCTCAGAGAGCCTGCGTTTCAGCCACATGCATGAGTATGACTGTGTAAACTCTGATAGAGCACGTATGCCTTTTTTTCCCTCTTCTTATTCTTCATGTTTTTGTTTCCAACAAAGGAATACCATAAATCCCTAATGTCCTCATCTTTACTTCAAATCCTTTCAGGTGCTTTCAGCTTTGATTGGACCCAAAGTTGTTGTTTTTTCTTTTTTTGCCACACTTCAGTTGTATGTGTGTATGAGTGTTGTTTGCATGGGGAGAAAAGTAAGGTGAAGATGCAAGGACTAAAGAAAACAAAACAGGCGAGAGATCGCAAGAAATTTTTWTTTWTTTTTTTGCCCGTAGGGAAGTCTGCCATGTTGCCCYGCAGCCATGCTTGCCGCCTCGGCGAGCTCATCAGAGAACAGAGAGCTGCTTATCAGATGCGACGGCCTCCTGGCTYACTACCCATACACTTGTTTCTCCTGTGCGGGGACGGGGCGATCGAGTCGACAGGCAGAACAGAGGTGGAGGAGCAACAGAGTCCGTTCAAGGAGCGCTCGTCTCCACGACTGCTATGTCTGATGAATAAAACAAAAACAGAGAGCCTTCCTGTGACCTTGACAGTGGCACAGCCCTTTCCTAAGAGATGGAAGTCACTTTTGATAGAACTGAGGCCCATRTGCTGGTGAACCCATCTGTCAGGTTGTCTCATTCGCAGTCCTTATCTGAGCCACAGCCAGGTCGTTTCTGTGCAAAGACTGGGGCCTCAAACAGGCACCAAGAGTCCCAGAGGAGCAGGCTTGACTTCCCTGAGCTTATCATCATGCCTGCTGCTGAGAACATTGTCCAGTTCCTTTTGTTTCATTTGACAGGAGAGTAAATTATCATAGGGACTGCTGTAAAACTTGTTCAATATAGGTGACCTCTCACATTAAACCAAGCTTTAAGTCACAAAGAGGTGTGTGGAGAAATAGGCAGCTATAGAGCATTGGTTAAAACATGATTTTGAGCAGAAACGCCTTAAATTTTTGTCAGTTTCCCTACAAGCTAGCATAGCTTGTTTTTCTTCTCAGCTGGTAAATTTTAATATCCAAATATTGTTTGAGGTTTCCTCTTCAGAAACTCCTCATTAGAACAAGCCTGAAACTAAGATTCAGACCAAACATCAACGGGTTATCCTGATTAAAAAGACAACTCAGTAAGCTCATATCAGGATGACCCAGCTATCAAAACGTAGTGAAAACATCCAGGAATCTGAATGTGCTGAAGTCATTTGGACCAAATTTGACTTTATCCTTGTATAATCATAGTTATGTCAGATTACATGAAGTCGACTAATTCCTCTTTAGAGAAAATCCCGAAAACAAACAAAAAAATACCGATTTTTTTTTAGTCCTTCAGTTCATTTTCATTTAAAGCGGCAATATTATGTGTATCTCGGGCATACATTTAAATACTATACCATAATAAAGTATCTATGCCACCTTTAGTTGTTATTAAAATGCTTTTTTCATGTTTAAATAGAAAATAAACTTATCTTCTCATCACTTCCTCTTCTAAACACCTTGAAATTGGCCTCTGTCTCTTTAAGAACCTCCTTCCGCTTCTGTCTCGCCCATTTCAGTGTGTGTGTGTGTGTGTGTGT